GGGGGGGGGGGGGGGGGGGGTGTGGGTTCTGGACTCTACTCTGCCCTTGTACAGTTTTGTTGTTGCTGTATTTTTGTTCTTTGGGCTTCTTTTGCTGTAGTTCTAGTGATAGGTTTGTCATTTGTGCACCTTGGCATTATTAAAATATGTTTTACACTAACATGCATATTTTTATTTTTATTGAATCCATAACAAAGATTTTGTTTTTTCAAATACGTCAGGTAAAAGAGATCCTTATTGAGGAGTCCAATGTACAGCCTGTCAATAGTCCAGTAACTGTTTGTGGTGATATTCATGGTCAATTCCATGATCTAATGAAACTTTTCCAAACTGGGGGTCACGTGCCTGAAACAAATTATATTTTTATGGTATTTGCTACACTTTTCTTCAATAAACTTTGATGATTTAATATCTGTTTTTGATGTTTTATATTTTCCTAAATGTATGGCAGGGAGACTTTGTTGATCGAGGTTACAATAGTCTTGAAGTTTTCACCATCCTTTTACTTCTAAAAGCTAGGTATGTTCTTTTAATGCATGCATCTGTCTTGACTCTTGACTTGCTGTTGTCTTTACATGTATTGTTACTAACATTATCACTTGGAATTTGTTATAGCCTTGGAAGCATTTAAGAAGAGTTTTAAGAATAATTTTGTTTATTCCACCATGATATCAAAGTGTATAATTTTGATACACTGTCAGTATAATTTTTTTTTACATTGTCAACCAATTAAAAATTATCCTAGATATGACTTTTAAAATAATTATTATAAAAGTTAACAATATTAAAATCAAAAACATTTACACTGTCAATGTATTAAATACTAATATCAAAATGCATGATACTCCCAAACAGTCTTTCATCGCTATCATGTTTGACTTTGGACAGTTTACATCCATTTGCAAGTGGTGCAATTTTATGAATTATCACATCAATAATTCAGTATTAGTTTTAAGTAGTTTACTTCTATTTAGTTTTTTCTACGGGCTTGTTCTTCCCATAAAAACTACGAAGTTCATTTATTATTCTCTATTTGTATTCTTCTAAGTAGGACCAATAACTGTGATTTTGATTTTTGGATTTAGACCATTTGACCTCCCGGTGCTGTGGTGTATGTGTACAGTAGGAAGAAAAGGAGGGTAATAGTGGATTAGTGTCTCATGTAGGAAAGAAAGGAAATGTGTATGACTCATTTTGCAAATCTGAATTGTAACCAGACTGCACACATGGTGAGTGGCATGGGGAGTGCTAGGGGTCAGTTACTCAGTTAGCCTTACAAAGGAGGTAGTGATTAAGGTAGAGGCAGGCAGATTGCAAGTAAGGTTTGGTAACAAGGAAGCAAACCCTTGAAATGCTAGCAGTGTTTGTACATTTATTTTCTGTTTTGAGTGCCATTTAAGTATCTAATGAGATTTTGCAATGCACATGCAATTCTTGATTTCTTCTCCTTGGAAGGAATAAAATTGATGTTGGAGACTTTCAATTTGAGCAAAGGCATTTTTTTGAGTTACCCCAAGTCCCAACACACCATCCACTCCCCAAAAAATGATTTGGCCTTGTGAAATTTGTGGAACCTTTTACATAGAGCCCAAACATTAACACATTAATTAGTTGGCTGATCTCTAAACATTTTGTCTACAGCTTTACATAGAACATTGGCACCCAAAAACAGTGGTTGATTAAACTTTCTAGTGGTTGTAAACTTGTATATTTCATTGATCATGTTTGAAGCTCAAATGATAGATCTGTTGTGATCATAAATTATTTTTCTGCATTTCATCTGTTGCACTTTCATTTGTTCTATAATTTGAGTCTTTTGTTGAGAAGCAGCTACTGGTGTTTGATTCTTATAGTCTCTGTATTTTTTTTTTCCTTATAACTTCACACATCCTTTTATTTTTCTGTAATTTCATAGATATCCAGCTAATATTACCCTTTTACGTGGAAACCATGAAAGTAGACAATTAACTCAGGTACGCGATGTGAATGGAATCATTACATGAATCATTCTAAATTTGCAGAGTTTTATATATATTTATTCAAACAGCTTATGCAACTGAGAAGGGGTCTATAAAATTTCTGAATCATGTCAGTCTTAGCAGGCTGGTTATAATCTTAAATAAAAAGTGTTAGCAGTGTAATTATATGCATGACTTTGTTGCTTGCTAATTGTAGTGATGCCACCGTACTTAATTTTAATTATTGATAGTATTGTTGAGTTCACTGTGGCGGGTTTATTTTCAGAGTCCAATAATTGTTGATGTCCAAAGAAATTTTGAGCTAAGTCATTGGTTATTTTAATGTAATCAATGTTTGGAGATGGTTGTTTAGGTTGAAATTTGAAAATGGATGGGAAAATTAATGTAGTTTATGACTCGTTAAGGATCTTATCTTCAATGGACGTGAGATTGAAAAGTAAGGTATGTAGTTGCCAAGTTTCTGTGCAGAAGGATGTGACTTCTGACACTTGTAGGATTTGCTGGGTTTTTTACATTGGTTTGGTTACTTGATTTGTTTCTCAGCCAGTATATTATGATGACAGACTTTAACATACAGTAGAAGTTGTCTTTGATATTGAAAAGTAACATGATTTTGCCTAGCCTTCTAAAGTATAAGGGGGTGTAATATTCTGTTTTTATATTATGTGCTCACTTGATTTTTCTAGATTATTTGTGATGCAAATAATCATTTATTGACAGTTGGGGTTATGGGCATTATGGAAGGTGTGACCTCATGTAACTCTCTGCTGTACACATGGCAGCAGGGAGCAAGCAACCTTAGGTTGGAATAGTGGGAAGGAGAGGGAGACAGGGAAACAGAATGAGGTAGAGGGAGAGACAGGCACTCTCAAATTTCCTTGGTTATCAGTTGTATTTGGTCTGTTTGTGACTATAGTAACTACCTTTGTTCTCTATTAGTGGTATCACCTAAATATCATCATCAGAGGACAAATTTATGCATAATAAATCAATAAAATAGTGTCTGGTTTTTCAGTTTCTATCAGTGTGTTGCAAGTTCTAATTATAAAAAAGGTATAGTTCTTAAGAATCATAAATTATGTTGGAGAATGCAAGGGTCGTGATAAAGTATTTAGCTTGCATGTGTAATAGGATATATTAGTGATATAGGATCTAGGTGGGAAAGAGAAAGAAAGGGGAGAAGAGGGAAGAAGAACTGAACAATAATAGTAGAGACAAGACCTATAAAATTGTAACTAACTATAGCTGACTAACATTTTTTTCCCATTTATATTACGTAACACAAAGCAAGTGAATTTTCCTGGCAAATAATGGATAATTAAACCAAGCTTGGTTGAAATGTTCTTAGTGATGTAGTGATGGTAAGTCCTTAAGAAATATGGACAAGGAATATTGTGAACAAGCTGCTTGACGGTACATATGATTGTGCTGATTTATGCTAATCTTGTAATTTACTGTTATGCAAGGTCTATGGATTTTATGATGAATGCCAGAGGAAGTATGGCAATGCCAATGCTTGGCGGTATTGTACAGATGTGTTTGACTATCTAACACTTTCTGCAATTATTGATGGAACTGTAAATATCTTTTACTCTATCCTCTCCAGGTATCTATCCCCTATGTGCCTGTGTGCATCTTGGTGGGTAGCTTACTGGATTTACATGACTTTTGTTTGAATGGTGCTTGTTCAAAATTAAGTCTTCTAAATGTTATATTTGACCCAGGTGCTTTGTGTTCATGGTGGCCTTTCTCCTGATATTCGAACAATTGATCAGGTCCTCTAGCCCCCTTCTTAATTGTTGGTCAAACACAATATTTCTGTAGCTTAGACTGTCCCTTCGGACATAAGTGTGAAGCACTAAAGTTCATTTTTTTTTTTAATAACCTCAATAAACAGACACTTAATTTATCTTGATTAAAAGGTACTGATAAACTTTTTATTGCAGATAAGGGTCGTTGAACGGAATTGTGAAATTCCTCACGAGGGTCCTTTCTGTGATCTAATGTGGAGTGATCCTGAAGATATTGAAACATGGGCAGTCAGTCCCCGTGGAGCAGGTTGGCTTTTTGGATCCAGGGTCACTTCTGAGGTAATGTAATTTATTTGTTAATTGCTTTTAGAATTGAATATTATGCTTTAATCTTACCAGTGCATTTTTTTTATGCAGTTCAATCACATAAATAATCTTGATCTTGTTTGTCGAGCACACCAACTTGTTCAAGAAGGTCTTAAGTATATGTTCCAAGACAAAGGCCTTGTAACTGTATGTTTCTTATATGAATTGCAATAAATTTTGTGTACCCTAAATTTTTAAAATATAATTTTGGTCTCGTATATGTCAAGTGGTCAATAGACTGATTCCCTTTGGAAATTTGCAGGTATGGTCTGCACCTAATTACTGTTACCGATGTGGAAATGTTGCTTCTATTCTGAGTTTCAATGAAAATATGGTGCGTCATCTGAAGCTTTGTGCTGTATCTTAATCTATTTCCATGATAATCGTGGTTACTTCATCATTTGGTCTTGTGATATCATGGTGTTTTTTCTTTTCTTCAAATAGTTATAGGAGTCATTAAAAGTGAGTAAAGCAATTTCATCGCACTTGCACCATTGTTGATAGTCCCAGTAAATAACTTAAAATGTCTCTTTGCGACAGGAAAGAGAAGTAAAATTTTTCACCGAAACAGAGGAGAACAATCAAATGAGAGGGCCCAGGACAGGCGTTCCATATTTTTTGTAATTTTGTGCAAATTTTGCTTGAATTTATTGTAAAATTGTAGTAATACAGTAAATGCATTTAATGATTGGACATTGATAGTCATGTATTAGTGCTTTGCATTTATCTTTTAAAGGGGGACCTTATTGGTCACAAGATTACCAATCCAACTATCTTAGCATCATCATCGGGTCGCACGGATAATTTTATATTTAAATTTTTATTGAAAATGATATTTTATGCTTAGTTGTTTCTGAAAATTATCTGTATTTAAATAGAATTGTTAGAATGTCTTGACATACTTTTAAAATAATTTGCAATGTGTTAATATTGTGGAAATCAACCAATTTTGCTAGTTAAAATTAATCCGAATTACACTTACTCCAATATATTAATGCGTACTCAGCTTATTTTCTAAACTAGTCTAGCCAGTTATCCTACTAAGTGAGTTTTAAATTTACTACTAATTGAATTTTGTTCATTCCTACGTGACTGACTGAAGGAAAATTGTTGATAGTGGCTTCTTAACCGCAATTGAAATTGTGACTATTTAACATAATTTTTTTTAAATTCCATATATATAACGTGACTTATTTTAATGTAACAAATTTTGATTGTCAGCCTTGAGAGTAATATTTCGCTAAAATTTGGGTTTATTACTATTAGGAATGTACTTAAGAAGATATAAATACTTTTGTAGTTGTAAATTAAAAAAATAGTTAAAAATTTAATAATTTCAAAATTTAATATACATGTTTAGATTTTATTACAATACCAATTATTGATATTCTAAATAATAGGTATTTATAATTATATTTTGTCCTTTAAAGATCAAAGTAGATTCGACTTTTTAAACGAGTCAAAATTCCAATGGGTGGATATGATTTGATGAGTCAATGAGCGGATATATGATAGCATTGCACTGACTTTTTTTTTTAGCATTTACTTTGCTACTACAGAAACAACCTTAAAAGAGATTTCAGATTATATGCAAATTGGATTTTAGATTTGGCAAAAATGTACACTCAATATCCAAGACCACTTCGTCCAATGACATTTTACCAAATAAATCGTCTACATCTAGAGTCTATTTCCTCATAAGCAGATTTCATAGTGTAAAAAAGCATGGGGGATAAGATTCTTTCCCTTGAGTTATTCATCTCGCTTTAATCAAATACTCACTCTTCGTGCAGGCTAATTTTTGCAGAAATTTAAGTATTGACAAAATTACATTTAGATATTTTGAAACTCTGTAAAAATTTATATGGAAATTTCTAACTAATTTGACAAATGACTAATTTAACATGTTAGTATTTTTTACCAAAAGAGTTGTTTAGTAAAAATAATACTCCATCCATCTATAAAGTAACAAAGTCACAGATACAATCTTTATATTGCTAGGGAAAAATAAGGTGCGGATACACTAAAAATCATGATGAGAGTCATGAATGACTTTGTAAAATAGGACGTGTTAGTTTGGGACAGTCAATGATGTTCAATTTCGGAGACAATCCACCCACAATAGTTCCCCGCCACACGGTCTCCAATTGTGGCAAATCTCTAAACTCCAACCTTGTTAACTTAGGGAGAGTAAGTTCCTTAACACGACCCACATCTTCAGTGAATATCTCTTTCAACAAATAACAACACTTCACATCTAGTGTGACCAAGTGTTTGAGCAGTAGCATTGACCCAATTGCTAGCAACTTCTCTATTTTGTGGCATTTCGAGACCACAAGATGTTTGATATGAGAGAACATGCCACCAGGAGGAAAATCTTTCCACATGAAAGCTAAGCCTTCCAAATTTTTAAGATTCAAAGATTCAAGGTTCTGGAGATTACTGCACAAGGAACATGGACTAGTCAAACAAAACAAGCTCTCCAATTTTGGACAAGCTTGAATGTTAATGTACATCAAAGAAGAATGAGATCTAAATGAGAGGACATCACACAAGCATATCCATTGTTTATTCTCTGCTATACACAACCTTGCAATGTCTGTCGGAAGCACATGGTCTAATTTTGTGCAGTCCCCAAAACTTACAATGCGGCAGTCATTGTTTGCTGGGAAGTTATAGTCGCAAGAATAATCCGAAAAATATCCAGGACCGATTCCTAAATGGAGATTATAAGTTTTAGGTCCACAATCTCTGTCCAAGGTTGCTTGCACATAACAATTGAAGTTATCACAATCATGAAAACTGCCTGCAAAATGTTCCAACATGGTCATCCCTAGTACATCTTTTGCATTTACCTTTGCTGAACCATAGTTATAGCGGATATCAAGGTACTGCATATTGGTTAAACCAGGTAGCACAGACCCTGGTAACAATGTCAAGTTGTAATTCTCAGACAAATCAAGCCACTTCAGGTTGGTTAGCATTTCCAAACCTTGTGGTACTTCCTCAATGGAAGTTCCTGAAATGTCCAATCTAGACAATGCTTGTAGCTGTTCTAATGGAGGCACATATTCTAGTGACTTGCATCCTCCAAGTAGTAGAGAAACAAGTGACCTCAAGTTAGACACTGTTTTTGGCAAAAGGGTCAAAAATGGATTGCATGATAGATCAAGCACAGCTAGAGCATTCATGTTGCTGAAAAAACAATCCGGAATGCGATGGAGGGGATTGCCACTAAAAATCAAGGTGGACAAGTTTGGACAGTTAGGTGATGTGCCCTTTGGGATTTCTTTTATATTGTTGTTCATCAAAGAAACCTTCTCCAAATCAGTTGTCCAGTCCAGCATGGCAGGTACCTTTGTCAATCCTTCATTGCATTTCACCATGTACCTGTGGCTCAGTTTTAGTATTTGGCACACCATGTTCCGCACTAAACCATGCATATGGAGGTAATCATTCTCCAACAACAAAGAATGGCCTTTGAGTTTGTCAACTATGGTAAGTCCCCCATCTGATATTCTCTCCAATCTTGTATCATTAAGCAGTCCTTCGTCAAAGAGCTTGAAAACCAATTCTTTTCTCCCAATTCCATGGTATAATGCACAGGATAAGAAACAATTCTGCATGTTCTTGTCAGTTAAATTGTCATAACTAAGTTTTAACACGTCGAAGATCTTTTCTTCCATTGCGAAATTTTGAAATTTATTCAATGAATGTTTCCACCAACGAATGTCATCAGTTACCCCTTTCATGGTTCTAGCCATCACACTGATTCCAAGTGGTAAACCATAACATTCCTTAGCAATTGATCTTGCAATTTTTTCTACTTCATGAGGAAGTTTTGCAGGTGTTGCATGGTTTCCAAGTATCAGCAAAAATAACTCCCAGGCTTCTTCATCTGAGAGAGGTTCCATCCGTATTATGCTATTTGGTAGGCAATCCATTTGGTAACACACATGTTCCAAACGACTTGTTAGAATCAATTTAATGCCATTCACACCAAGAGGAATTCCCACCTTCTCTAGATCAATATTTTTCCAAACATCATCCAAGATAAGCACTGATTTTTCTTTTCCTTCCAACGCTAATGACAACTTTTTAGCTCTGATTCTCTCATCATCTCCATCAAGTGTCACACCTATTCTCTTCGCCACTTCATTTTGCAATTTAAAAATGCTAAAATCTCGGGATACAGTGACGAAGAAGACATGTTTAAAACTGTCCTTCCTATTTAAATTAATATCATTCTCAATATAAGTTACCAGGACTGTTTTTCCCACTCCTGCCATTCCATGTACGCCAATTATGAAGACTTGGTCATCACCTAAAAGTTTGCACATCTGCTTAAGGTTTCTGTTAAAATTTTCGCCAACAAATACATTTGGCTTCATTTGCATATGCACTCCTTGTACAATTGCTCTAGCAATATCTGCAGTTCGCAGAGGGTTGACAAACTAAACTTTCGCGCAACGCAAAGTAGGAAAAGCAAGTCAACCACTATAACTCTAAAAGAAATCAGAGCAATAAAAGTCAAGAAAAGAACTTATTACCTCGAGCATATATAGAATAATTATCATAACTAGAAAACTATAATATAACAATTGTGGGATGATATTGGACAGTAGCTGAGACAACGGCATGATAGTATATATTTGGGATGAAATTAGTGTGTATTCATTCAAATGGTAAATTTATGTATACAAATATGCATCCATTTCAGCATTCCATTGTCGTCCCTTGTAACTTGATTCTAGAAATGCTAAGTCCCTTGAACACCCACGAATATATGATTATGATATTTCAGAAACACAAGATCAAATTTAAAAATTTATACAGGAAGCGCCAAAATGTTTCTCGATTAGAGTCTGGGTCAACTAGATAATTGGTTACCCTAGTCCATTTCCTTGAAGGCAAATTAATCAGTTTGCAGTAGCAGACATTGAATCTGTTAAAGATGCAGTCTTTAAGGAGTTTGGAGATCGATCTATTCTAGAGTGAAGCTAGAACTAGTATGGTTGTTTATGATAAAATAATTAATCAGGTTGTTAATGTTCAACAGTTTGCGAGATAAATGTTGTATGAGACAAGGCAACAGAGGCCATAATCATAGAAAATGAAAGATATATATTGATTATACTCACTTGCAAAAAGAACAGAAACTTAAATCGGCTTTATTAGGTGCAGATGCGATGTGCCTCAAATAGTCAAATATTATCGAAAGAAACTCCTAATGCTTACACTATTATATCATACTATTATTTGTATGAATCTAGAAAACGCGTAAAGCTCGAACTGTTTCTTGGTACATCTCGGGACATTTTTTTTTTTTTTTTTTTTTTTTTTTTTTTTTTTTTTTTTTTTAATGTTATCTTGGGACATGTTTGTTTAAGGTTTCACTTTTTTTATTTATAATAATTCTATCTTTTTGTGTTTTGTTAAAATTGATTTTAAAATAAAATTATCTTCATATAAGAAATTTCCTATTTGTTTTCCTAAAAACATAATTTTTAAAGATTACTATTTTTATATATATTTTTTTTAATTTTAAACAAATTAGCTTTTATTTTTGGTATATCAAGTTCATGGATGACAAATGGGACGAGTTCCGGGCGCCGGTTGAATAGTTGAATACCCCTCTTGCGGTCTTATATAGTACGAGTAGTTATTAGATTTTAGTGAATATTTATGAATTATATATGTCTATTTATGAATATTTATAAATATCCATATCCATATTTTAAATAAAAATAAAAAAATTAATTAGGTAATGAAGTAACAATTAACTTTCCAATTCTATGATTTTTTTAGAATTCTATGAAACTTTGTAAATTGTAAACTTTAATGAATTTATTTGGTATGACTCTTTACAGTGATTATCGACTATTTTTTATTGGATGATAATGTTAAAATATATTTAAATTATCAAAATATGCATTACTTATTCATATAAATATAGATATTGTAAGCCATCGCTTATTTTGTACTAACATAATAAAATGTTTAGTAAAATAGAGTTCCTCTAATACCATAAAAATATTGATGGATGAATCTCATGCAACCAACTATATGTATTTATATAGTTTAAGTGTCCATTTGACAAATAGATAGAATCAGTTTTGTAATAAATACTTTTAGGTCAAATATGTGGTTGAAATTAATTTAAATACTTTAATTCATTACTTTTAACCTTTTAAAATTATTCCTATCAAAATTAATTTAATCCAACTTTAAAACAAATGACCCCATATCAATCATTTGAATGGTATGTGTGGCATTACACACGTAAAATTGGAGGGACAAATAACTTTCAATTGTGTACACCAAATAATTAAAGAAAAAATTGAAAATGCATATAGAATTGTCATAAGATTATTCTCTCATTTTTTATATTGAAGTAATGTTCTTATTGCACCGATATACTAATATGCATTCATGTTACATTCGGTTGAGATATTTGGTAAAGACCACATGTAGTTTTTATTCAAGACAATATTGTTCGCGTAAGTTAGAATAACCAAGGACGGTTAAACTCTTCATCTTAATATTTAACACAACTGTTGCATATCAGAACTGAGATTTCACATTGAAAAATGAATTATGAAAACATAAATACTACTTCCTATCATGTTCTAATGTCTCTGACATGACAGTCTATCAACCTAAGGGCCTTCTTAATGTATGCCAATGGACTATCAACCTCACAGAGTAATGTAAGCCAATACTACTTCCTACCATGTTCTAACTTCTAATTGTCTATTACAAATAATCCCTCATTTCTACAAAAGGTGACTCAATGTACCTTCTAAATATGCACAGGCCCCAAGGATGCATGACGTCGAGTTTTGACTTTCAGTAGCAAACTAGCAATCTGCTCACTTAGTTTCATCTTCCTCATTCAACTTTTCTTTCATCAAAACAAGCAAAGTCGATGCCCATTTCCTCTGATGGCTTCCATGAGCACACGTCAAACAGCTCGATCTAGCAATTTTCTTGCATTTTTATGCAAGTTATTTTAGCATATTACATGCAGTCAATAGAGCTATACACTCCCCTTGCATTTACAAAGCAAGAATGATGCACTCAACACTTGGACCCTTAATTTTTTAGGATACTGGATTATTACTGACAAAAGAAGGAATATTTTCTTGGGAATATGTCATACTATTCAAACAGGATGGTTTCGCTGCACCATAGTAAAAGTAAGCCATGACTTTTGACCACTCTTCTGCACTGCGAATGGCTGAGAGACGAAATGAACGTCAGAAGGTAAGGGATCAAGAAATGGAATATATATATATATTGTGTGTGTGTGTGTGTGTGTTGGGGGGACAATATAGATCAATTACCTTTGTCACGGAATAAAATCTTGCCTGCTTTAGTAAAGATAATCTCTGGGAATACTGATACTTGAAGGGCAGCAACCAGTTCAGTCTCAACAACAGCATCAATCGCAACACACTTTCATATGATATGTAAAGAGGATATGAAACAAAAAAGAAAAGTTATCTCATGCCAATGTAGCAGGAACCAAAGGCCATAAGTTTATTACTTCACTGACTACTTACTCTTGGTGAGGGCAGTCTGCAGTTCCATATTATATGCACAGCCTTCTCTAGTTCATCCCGAATTTTTTCATTCTCCTTTGGCCTAAAAATAAAATTAAGAACTTGTACTTATATTTGATTGTAAATACGATATGGAGCACAACAACTTAATAAATATAATACGTTATTAAATGTGATCTAGCAGTCCAAGTAAATCAAATCACCTTAAAGTACTTAAACCATATTCTGAGGTTAATTAAACAAAAGGTTGAATAATCATCAAAAAAAAAAAAAAAAAACGTTGAAAGCACCCATCAGAGCCCCATTTCGAAAGATAAAGATAAAATGGTCGTACATGTCTTAAAAACACCGTAGAAGGGATACATTGATAACACCAGTTTTAAAAAATGTTTTACTTTTGATTTTTTAACAAGTACCCTAAGAGAACTTGATATCATTGTCTAAAGATAAAAACATGCAAGCTCGAGCGCAAACAAAGTGTTATGCGGGGAAATTAAATCTAGGAAAGGAATCCTTAACCTTATGGAATAAAGAGTTGGAGAAGAAAGAAAAACCAGGCGGCCAGTTAGTCTATTCAATTGCACTCAATTTTAAGTTATCAACACTAATCAAACAGACTAATGGCCACAGTTATTAATAGATGTAAGATACATATTAACCATGTAGAGCATGCTCATAGGAACAAGCAACACCAGAGCAATTGGCATTCAGTTACTTAGACCAAAACAAGAAATGAATGAACAAACAAAATAGTTTTGTATAACTTTCCTTTAAGCTATTAACTTGAGAATAATCAAGCAGCTATTGAGCTTAAATACAGGATAAAGAAAATGCACATAAGAGATAAATTAAATTTAAATGTAGAAGTAGCACAAACCTTTTATATCGATTGTGCACTAGAATAATCAAGGGACTTATGTCTTTGAATACAGTCTCCTCCCATTCTGCAGTCTTTATGTCTTTGATAGGACGAATGTAATTATCATCTTGCCACACTATTTCCGGACGGTCAACATCATCATCATCGTTGTCATCATCTTTTTTCTTGTTTTTAATGGTAATCTTATCGAAATACTGGCCCAAGCTGAATCCCCACCCATCAGCATTTTCGGACCAGTTAGGATCCTCCTCCTCCACAACAAGAGGGTAATCCTCCAAAAGCTTCTGCAGTTTTTTCTTCTTTTCCTCAGGGTCTGACTCCTCTTCAACATCAGGTTTCCTATCCAACACTTGTCTTATATTCCTCCTCCATTCAAGTCTCTCTTCAGGACTCATAAGATAAGGGTCATTTGCATTAAATCGTGGCGGTGCATCATCATCATCATCATCGTCATCATCAGTGTCACTAGATGCTTCTCGCCGTCTCTTCCACTTACCCCCATCAGATTTGAGTGCTTGAACTCTGCTTGGAACTCTTACTGATCTGATATCACCACCCTGTTTGAGGAAAATAGATGAATTAATTGAACTGTCTGAAAGTATACTCAACTTAGGCCTTGTTTAAATAAATTTCTCTATAAATACTTACAAGATAGAAAAAACATGAATTAAACTAGTCTTGCAAGTTAAAATCAAACTCATGCACTAAACTTTCATAAAAGCTATTTCAGCTGACTTATCCAAAAGTTAAGGTGCATAAGTTGATTTAAACTCATGAGAAGCAAATTCATTTTTGTCTTCTTATCCAAACAGAACCTTACATAAATTACAAGTAAAAGAAATTGATAAACTTGCCAGGTTTAAAGGAAGGGTTAAAGTCAAAAATTGCTTCCTAGGTTTGTGTCTGTGAAGACAACATGAATTGGACATCTTTTGTGTAACCCTAGGTGAAATGATAGATGGCAAGGGCATAGTGATAGAATGTGGTAGCGCCATTTCTTCAACAAAAGTATTCTAAACAGAGAAAGAAAAAAAAAGTGTGAGTGGATAAATTGAAGACAAAATGGGTGAGAAATTATAAAATGAAAATGAAACTTTGCGAAGCTAAGCTTGGCGCTCCCCTAATCCACTCTTCTCTGATATTTTCTTGTGTTTCACAAAGAGAATCGAAAATATTACGTAATTATGTTGCTCTACGACGCCGCTGCAAGCTGCAACTGACGACTGACCAAAAACAAAAAATGGGTTTTTTCTAAAACAAACACGTCCTAGCAATTTCCATTCACACCCTCCTTTTTTTTCCTCTTGCAGTGGCCTTTTTTATCTTTTTTTTTTTTCATATATAAAATGTTTTGAAACATACTTTTAAAAAGGTGCGACCTAATATTGTGTTAAATACACTATAAAGATTAATTCTCGTAATATGAAATTTATTTTACAGAAATTATATTTCATAATATAGATTTTTACGTGATAAAACTGTAGTTTTCGAAATGTATAAAATTACATTATAAAATTAGTTCATGTAATATAGATTTTATATCGTAGATTATAACTTTCATAAAACTTATTAAAAATAAAATAAAAAGTGGAGATGGGGTGTGTAGAAATGATGGGGAGGACGGAGGTGAGATAAAAGAGAAGAGAAGAAAAGTTGAAAAGGAAGGTACGAGAACAATATTCTAGTAATAATAAAAATTAAATATTTATTGATTTTATATTAACGTAAATCTTATTTTATTTTTAATTCTTATAGTTACTTAATCTTTGTCATCTTTTTTTTTATTGAAAATAAAAATAAAAAATAGTTATAAAATTATACAGATTCAAAAAAATAAAGATAACATATATAAAAATTAAAATGATTTTTTTTAATTATGATAACTAAACAATTAAATTTATGAAATTATTGAGACGATAATTGAGAAAAAAAGAACGGGGAGTGTGAAGAGAAAAATTAGCTTAGGCCCAAGTCCTCAAAATTTTATAATCAAAAAGTTTCTTTCTGGGCCCATATCGGTGTTTTTAATAACTTAAAACTAAACAATTAAATACAGACCAAATTGAACAAAAATTGAGAGAAAAGAAAAGGAAAACGCGACAACGGTGTTCTGCTAAATTCTGACAAATTCGAGGTACGTAGCAAGGTGTTCCAAATTCATACTCAATCCTCTGGGTGTTGTGTTTATCGACTAAGGATGCGCTTTTATTGAAACAAGAAAAGGGGTTTAGGAATGAAACCATCAATTTGTCCAAAACAATTTTAAATGTTTTCACTTGATTATGTTTGTCCAGTATACGAATATGAATGATGGTTGGTTCAATCGCGTATGCAGATTAAGCCATGGAAGAGATGTCGGGTTCAGCAACAGCAATAAACTCTACCAATATAGGATTTCAGGTACTTTGTTTTTTCCCTTCCTTCATTATGTGCTGTGATTTTATTCTGTCTTATCATTTTTTTTTTCTCTTGGTTCATGTTAATATAATTTTTGATGCTGTTTTCTGCAGCTATTGAAGAAGCAAGGGTGGAAAGAAGGGACTGGTCTTGGAGTCTCTGAGCAGGTTTTCTTTCTTACTCTCTTTTTTCTTCACTGAATGGTGGAATATTCTCTCATAAACATTATTGTAAATGTTCATTTCAAAAATTTCAACGCTTCTGTTAATTCATGACTTAAATGGAGCATTTTCATAGTTGAGGAAAAATAATGATGTAACTTGTGTCAGGGCATTGAACATTTCACTATTTCAGTGTGTGTTAGAGACTGTGACTTGAGGTCTATTTGCTTTACAATTTACATTTTAAATTACTATGTTATACTTTTTTTTTTTTTTGAAACAGCAAATGTTAATTGTTAATTGTTAGTTGTTAGTGGGGGGATTCGAACCCACACCCTCCTTATCACTCCAACCCTATATCCCTCCCCCCAAGCCACTTAGACCACCCTTATCACTCACTATGTTATACTTAAAACAGAGTTCATGGTAGAATAAATGATGGAATGCCTAATCATAATTTAGGGGAACACAGTTATGCTTGTTTTCTCATCCCAATTACCAAATTATTTGTTATGCTCCTCTGTCAGTGCTAATCTCATCTCCATAATTGTAGTCTATTTTGAATATAAAATACAGGTATTTCATCCTTGCAATAGTTCTGATGAATAAATTTATTATGGAAACAGGGTAGATTAGAACCTGTGGAAACTTATGTGAAGAATAATAAACGCGGTTTGGGAGCAGATAAAGTGAAGAAAAAGGCCGTGAAAGTAAAACCTGAATCGGATCATAGCGATTCCTCTAAAGGGGACAATCAACAGGTAATTTTCTTAAGATTTTATTTTGGATCATTGCCCAGGGTTTTTATACTATTTATCTGTTTCCATCTATGTAAAAATTAAATCATGTGAACAACTTTATAATGGTAGAAGAACTTTGGCTTGAAGACATATCCAGAAAGCATAACATAACCATGCAAAATGGTACCTATTTTTTAGTTTGGAGTTGGAAGGTTATGACAGTTAGCAATGGTTTTCTTGTGCTGGTTGCCAACATTATTTGATTGAAACGTACACGTACTGATTCTTTAAGTTACTTGTTTTATGTTTTTAAAATTTGGCGGGGGAGTTTAAGAGAAAAACTTGAAGGAACGCTAATCAAATGAATTTATTTTGAGGGGGGGGG